AAATACAAGACCTCTCTTATTCTGTCTTTGTAAGCTCTATTTAGGAGTGCATGGAGAATAGAGACCTGGCTGGGGCATTAAACAAAGTAGGAATGGGGACTTCAAGCTGGGGAAAACAGCACTGCACTGATCCGTGCAAATGAAAGCTTCATTGTCTGAAGTCCCCTCTTCTACTTTATGGGTCATTTACAGTAATGTATAAAATACTGATCATTTCTTCAATATTTAAAGCCAGTAACGCTAGCAAGATGGGCCTTTAATTTCTTTCCTCACTTGTGGCTATCCTGATTACGTCCATCAAAGTTTTGCTCTTTTTTTAATATTTCTCTAGAAACCTCTTGATCTCATTGCATTAGTTGTCTCCCTCCTTTGGTTAAATTCTTCATATTCCTATCTGACACTGATTTGTTCCTCTGGTTCAATGTATAGTCAAGAGAGTAATTTGTTCATCTTCAGTAGCACCACTGAAATCACAGAGGTACTTGATGCCCTGATTTATTGAGGCACTTGAGGTCAGTGCCTTAAGCATTTACTAAAAATGAAGCAAATGCCAGCACGACCTCCAGAGGATTAGTCACCTGCATAATGGTTTGCAGGGTCCTTAAAAATACGAACTTGTGGAACAGATTTGCTACTGGTGTAAGGTTAGTGCACCAGTACTGAAAGCAAAATGATGTTGACCATGCTTTCAGTAGAATTATGGCACATCTGTGCTAAGCCTTCCCCTTTTCTTGTCTTGTGCCATGCTGATACATTATGATATGCCAAAAGTAAAAGTCAAAGTGAGAAAAAGGCTTCCAACATTTTTAATTGCTTATATGTCACTTAGTGTTCAACAGGACTATTTGCATCACAATAAGAACTTCTATTGTTACAGCAAGGTTGGGTTTTTTTTCATTTGATTTTGTAGGGTCATATTGTCATGCTTTTTTATTTGCTTGATAGTAGGGTGTCTGTGGTGTCACTGCTGCCTCTCTGCTAATGAGCCTAGGACTTGTAAATTGGATGAGACAAAACTTTGGTACTCTAGATTTGCAGGTTAAAGTATTTTTCCTGCCATAGATGAAGATTGTGTTTTGTATTAGGAAACTGGAGGAAATGAGAATTCATGTTTCCTTACTGAGTCTGAAAATCTTCCTCATTATTACTCTTTCTTCCTTTTCGTAAAGAAAAAATGAGTTCTGTATAGGGATGTTTCTTTCTTTATGGTTGTCTTTTTCCTTATAAGAGGTGCCTCTCTAAGTCATGTAAAATATTTTGATATGGAGAATTTTTTACAAGTTAAAGATCTACTGCAAATGTTTAAATCTGCATGAATTCACAGTACTTACTGTGAATCTTTTTACATTTAAAACTATAAGGTTAATTCCAATGTATAGGAATAATTTTTAGGACAGATTACAGACTTTTCTGTAATGCTTTTTGCAGATATTTAAAACATTCTCTTTGTAATTTTTTTCTGTTTTAGGGGCAGCATTATTGCATCTTAGAAATAATACACTGTAAAATGCCTGTAACAAGGTATTTTACCTGAAAGCCCATTGTAGCTTTCTTATTATTAGTTTCAAGTTTCAGCAACAATAAAACTGTTCTTACTCAAATGTATAATATTGCATTCATTCCTCTAATAACATCATTCCACCATACCTACTTAAAAATAGACAAACAGTTGTTCAGAGTACTTGTTATTCATCCTCGACGTTTTTATTTTGTTGTTAGATATCAGGCTTAGGAATAGTTGTATCAAGAATTTGCATCAAATACAGAAAGAAAAAAGTTATTTCCTCTGAGTATACATGTGCTTTCTATCCGTGTTTCCTTGGGATATAAAATGTTACTAGTTTAGTTCCATTGGTCATTTTTATTGCCTTCCTGAAGACAATGGAAATTGCACAAGGCTCTAAATAATAGCATCTCCAAGTGTAAATTAAATCAATGGTATAGTCTTTTGCAAGTAGAGAAGAATGTACTCTTAGATAATAAATCTTTTTTTGTGTGTGTATATCAACAAGATGTCTATTTTTTTTCTTCCTAGATACACCTTTAGTTAAAATCATTTCTTCCAATTCATGGCCTGAAGAAGGACAATCTATAATTTTGACTTGTGAATCCAAAGGAAAACCAGTGTAAGTGATTTAACAAGTAATATGGTTTTGTTATTTTCTTTACTCTGCTGTGATTGCAATCTTCCGCTGCAGAAATCTGCTGGTTTTGTTTCATCCTGGGGTGTAAAGTAATCTCTGGTATAGAAAACCCCTTGAAGCCTGTCTTCATTAAGTGTCTGTAGAGGACTGGTCTTTTACTTTGTCATCTATTTTAGTTTTCAGGAAGAATTCCAGCTGTGAGATTATTTTTTTTTTTCAGTCAGTTATATCAACCTGAAAGGAGTGCAGGCTTAATCAGTCACTGTTTGCATCTTTGAACTGATGATAGAAGAGAAAACGTCTCATGAAAATCTTTCTACATCAACTAGCCTTAGAGAAAATATATTGAGCTTTCTGGATGCTTTGGCTGTCATTTAGAGGGGAATTTGAAGTTTAATGATATGTGCAAGCTGGCTGCTTGCTTCAACCTGAATTGCAGAAAAATGTTACCTGCTTTAAGAATCGAAATTGTTTTACTTGGAAATTAACATCTCTGACATAAGTATTTTTTAAAGGCAGAACTGCAGAGATTACCTCATGCACAGAGTCTACTATGTAAATAGGCTTCACACTCTAAAACATACCTTCTCAGATGAGCTGTTACATATTTATCCATAAAAATACATGAATAATCCAATTACTTAAGTTAATATGAATCAAGTTTCTTAAATATTGAACTTTCTGCTCAAAAGTGTTATATGGAGTGGTGTTACACAGCTTTAGAATGGTCTTGAAAGTGATGGTGCAGTAGTATTTTGGTTCCAGAAAAAAGCTAGAAATTATGTCATTTAGGGCAGAATTTCTCCTTGGTGTAACTTTATGGTGGACTTTATGGAATTGCTTAATGTAGTAATCTGAAGCAGGATTTAGGTCAAGTCATTGAAGTCCAAAATTACTATTTTGAAAACCTCTTCTGAGTTTAGTCTGGCATCATTTAAACTCCATAAGTACTTCTGGTGTGCTTTTTTTTTTTTTTATATTACATGCCTGTATCATTTGAAAGCAGCTTCTCCATCCAAATCTTGACTGCACTGAGCAACTCAGCATCTAGACTGTGCTTCTACCCTGCTTGAGACTGGAACCCTGGGGGTCCGTTCAATTAGTCTTACATGGTGCTCTGTGCAATTCATTTCTGTGTACCTGTGTACTTTTGAAGCAATATATGTTTCTAAGACAGATGCTTCTGTAGCTAACACACAAAAATCAGTTGCAAGCCATGTCTTGCTTTTATAATATACTTAAAAGAGAAGAAATTACCCTTTACTTAACAGCCTTGGAGCATTCTTCTAGGTATCACGAGGTACATTTCCCCATTACTTTCAAACTCAGCAGAAGATGTGCAAGTGCTTAATTTTAGGATTGCTCTGAGTGCACTGTTTGCTAGGTGATATATAGGATTTTCCCTATCTCAGTGTTTTCCTCATGGTTTAATAAGCTACATGCCAAGTGCTCATTTTCGCAGACAGAGTACAGACATCCCAGCTCCAGGTGCTAGATTTGCACTATTCATCTAACATATGATAAAGATTAGAAATAAGGCAGTCATTATGTATTTTTATATTTTTAATTAGCTGTTATTTGTTGGGGGGGGGCAGTTCGGCCCTTCACATTTGGGGCCTTTAAATAACAAGAAAGTTTGGAGGTTATGGATTGATTTGTTTTTCCTATCCTTTTTAGTTTTATGATTTGGATGATTTGATAGATGGATGTAATCAGTACGTGGGGAGGAAGGACAAAGGTGTGTATAATACCAACCAGGGGTTCTAGTCCTTCCGTGATTTCACCTGCCTCTGAGTATTTACAAGAAGGCATGATGCTTTTCAGTTTCTGGGTGTATGGGAATCTTTTCAACTGTCTTTAAACATATGCAGAGTAGATCCTTACGTCCGAGCTGCTCACTTGGGCTGCCCTTTGCCTTCAGTGGGGTGATTTAGGCACTATTATGATGTCTCTGGTTAACTACAATAGGCAATTGAAGAAGGAAGAGGCAGACTGGATCATAACTACATGATGTTTAGACAGTTAATTCAGTCAGCTATCTGCCTCTACATTTTGTGATACCAAATAGAGATGACTAAACACATACATTTATATAAAATTTTATATCTATGTTTAAATTTGGTCAGATGCATTTTGCTCTTTGACTACAGCTTATATCCACATTTTCATAATCTTCATTAAAAACAGGCTGACATTTTTTCACATACCAGAAATGTTAGACAGTTAAGACAATTCTCTCAGATGTTAGATTTTCATTTAGACCCCTGTACTTGAGTAATTTCTGAAGGCAGTAAAAAACTATTAAAGCTAGACAGCCACAATATTTTCTGTTTGGGACATGCAATATTGTAGATATACTTTATATGTTGCCATTAGGAGACACTAGATAAAACCTAATAATTAAAATGGAGCTTCAGTTGAGGTGCTTATTGATTTTAGTTGCATCCTCAATGGATTCAAAAGCAAACTTTACATGTAGTTTTGGAAGGGCAGCCAAACAAAAACTCCACACCACAGAATTATCAAGGCAGGGCTCCTCTATGTGTTAGCTTTTGGGGCTCAAATGTTTTGCCAATAAATGCACCTCTATGGTGTCCACACCATAAAAGCTGCCAACATCAGCTGCTCCATATTGCTTCATTAGGTCAGTCTTCCACAGCACAGAGCCAGTAATAAATAGGCATCGTCCTGGGAGCAGTTTGCAGTTGCTTAGCATGAGGAACAGTAATGTCATGCTCCCAACCTACATTATGATTACCTTCTGGCTTGGAGAGGGAGAGAAATTGGAGAGGTCCACAGAGACCAAATTTGTCAATGTCACAAGGTAAGTGATGAATTGTGGGCTTCATGGAGAGCTCAGAGCTAACCATGGTTCCTTCATAGTCATTTACACACCCTGAGTTAATTTCTGTACACTGTCAACTTTATGCCACAGTTACAACAGTCTCTCCTGTTTCCTGTACGCAGCAGTGAATCATACTAGTAAATGAACACTTACTTCTAGGTACATTTTTCTTGTATCCCAGAGCAATTTTCACAAGCTTCAAAATGACAATCAAGATGAAAATAGAGAAAGAATGAAGCTAGGCTGTAGCTGTGGTGACATTCATGATACTGGTAGCTGCTGCAGTGTAATTCTTTCCTAAAAGGGAAAAGTAGAATGAGGCTAAAGCTAGAGTGTACTTGCCCCATCTTATATCTCAGCACAAAGCCCCTCCTTGCAGGATTTCTGTCCCTCAAACCATATGCATCACAGATACCCGGATATTGTGTTTCATTTCTACAATACTGTCCTAAGGAAAACCACTCTCTAACTTATTGTCTTGTAACAGGGAATGGGAAGGAAGCCTTGCTCAAACCAACACCTCTAGGAAATTAGCTGCCCTCTGCATCTCAGATTCTGCACTGTGCTGTTTTATCTACTTATCACTATAAGGATGAGGATGACTCTAGATCTGGTCATCACCCTGTGCTTATTGCTATTAGGGTAATTACTTTGGAGGCAGGAGCTGTTCTTCTGGGTAAGCACTGTATTGCTGCTATAGAAGTGTGATGATGCCAATAGAAAAAGCAGGTCAGGTTCTTGCCTGTTCTGCAGTGGTTTTATAGAGGCAGGCTATATGAAGGATTAATAAGGCATCACAGATTGTTACAGACTGCCACAGTTCCTCTAGGGTATGTGTTGTGGCTGCTGCAGCTTCAAGAAGAGGCAGACTGCCTGGGAGGTGCTGTGGGTGTTACTGCAAGAGCCATTAGTCTCTGGGTTTGCCCATAGAGCCTGTGATGGGACATGTGTCAGAACACCAATCCCACATGGTAGGATGACATACTGATTACAGTGTTGAGTCAGAACGGAAGTGGAAAAATTGTGAGGTGAGGAGGTGTCCTTATACATTGCCTTCCAAAAGACCTGTCTCTTGCTTCCATTTTACAGCACTGGCTAAATTTATTGTCTCTAGGATCTAGTGTCAAAGCTTGAATTTTCTCTGGAAAAATAAAGTTACGCTTATGGAAATCAGAACATCATTAAATCCATCTAATTTGTTTAATGATGTTCTGATTTAATGATTCTCTGATCCAGTTTGTGTAGCACTTGGGGCACTAGTTATAAGCAACAAAAACCAGGTATTTGAAGCATTGTATGCATGGAAATTTCTGTAAGTGGAAAGGAAAACAGAGGAAATATATCCATCAGTTTACCATGGAGATTGTTTTTAAACAGACCTTATAAGCATAACTCACTATAGAAAACTGCCCTATTATCTGTAATATTTTAAGGGAACTTGAGAACATTTGTGAGGGTTGCTGTCTGATTGATCAATGCCCAGTGGGTAGATCAAATTTAAGGCAGCCTTTGATTTTCAATTTCTAGTAGATGTGTTAGTGTCAGCTTAGTCTTTTCTTGTGTAAGACCTGGTTACTGGTTTGTTCACCCCATTAATAATTTTAGTCAATACTGACAGCCAGTTTGGGGGTTGTTTTAAATTGTAGGCAAAAAAGTATTTAGCTGTTGCTCTGCGTAAGTTAGGTCAAGACACCCTGCAGCTGACATTGCTATTCAATAGTATTCCTTTTGGAGATACTGTTGTATAATTTCAAACCAAACTGTAGCTAATCTCTTGCCTTTTCAATCTTTAGAGCTATTTTATCTTTCCGCTATTTTTGGCTGGATCACTGGACAGTGGTCAGGCTATAAAATTTTACCAAATGAACTTGCATCATATGTCTGTAAGGTGTCAGTGTCTCTTTTTAATGTATTTCCTTTTTAGCATAATATAGTTTTACCTAGGCTTTGTTTATATTCCAAAGAAGATGTAAGTCAGCTTCAGAAATCATAGGCATCCTTTTTATGAACTCATATGCAATGTCTAGACTTTTATGAAGTCATATTGCCTGACAGTATTTTGAATATTTTAAAATAAAAAATAGCTGTAGAAAATAAAACCCAAGGAACAAAATGGTCATTTACACTCCTCTGTGCTTACAAAATATTTTAAAAGCTAATGTTTGCTTATTGCAGTTTGCAGCTTCTACACACTGTTGTGTCTAAACAATATAGTCTCGTGACTCAAAACTGACACAGAAGGGAATGCGAGAACTGCCCCATAATGAAAGAAAAATTCAATATTTATATTCTTAGCCAGCACACTCACAAAAGCATGTGTGATATATATTATAATGTTTCTAAAGCAAAAATGCAATATACACACCCCCCCATTAAAGTCAGTGTCCTTTCAGCAGAAAGGACATCAAAATATAATGAAATAATTAAGGCACAGGAAGCAAGGAGAGAGTTGGCTGTCTCATGTGTGCTTTCGAGAAATGTCTTTCCATTCCATGAGCTCAGGGGAATTACAGTACAGTTGGATGGTTAATGTAAAATGGATATTTGGCCTTGTTTGAAATAAATAGGAAATATTTCAGAACACTCATATGTTATTTGTAAGGTCATGAAAAAGTTGAAGAGAAAAGCACAGGTAGTAATAAACACTAATATTATATGTACCCAGTAATATATAGTCAGATGCATATTTTGATACCGGAAAAAGTGATCACTTTTAATACTGAGGGCACAACAAATAATCAAGCTTGCACTTTCAAGCTATTGTAAACTATGTGTGTGGTATCACCACAGAAAGTTCTGTCTTTTCTAGTATCTGTTTAACGAAGGTTCCCTTGAGAGAGACAAACATTTTGCAAAGGCTAATGGATACAAATACTGCTGATAACAGAGAAATATACAGCACCATTCTCTCAGTGACCCCAGTGCTTGTCTGTTTCAGTTGAAAAGGACCTTACAGGGATGTGGGTGAAAAGAGAAAACTCAGTAAAAGGTGTTAGCTAGGATTCAGTCAGCTGAATGCAGCAAAGCCTGGACTCACACTGGCTCACGTTTAGCCTACTGTCAGCCAGAACCTCCAGGTCCTCCTCAGCTTAGGTACTGGATTTTGCACGTCATTGCCAAATTTCCCAGCCTTTCTCCAGCCTACAGAGGTGCCTCTGAGTAGTTGCCTTCACCTCAAGTATACTCAGTACAGCTGAACTTAATGAGAGCACATTCCATCACTTCAGCCAGGTCTTTGATATTAAACAGCTGAACAGGAAGATGACTCAGGAGAGACTTCTGCAGAAGTCTGCTTGTAGCCAGCCACTGAGTACTTTCCCTCAACCCAGTCAGTGGTCCAGCCAGGTTTTCACTCATTGAGTATTACACACATCCAGCCTAGATACAAAGAATACTGTTGGAGACAGTGACTGAAAACTTGCTAAAGTCAATATCAACAACATACACTGTCTATTAGATCTACAGATCCTGTAATTTCTTCAGAGTTTTCACATTTGGTAGCTAGAAAATTATAGAAGTATTTATTCATGAATCATTTTGTCGCAAGCTAAAGGATAAAATGTATTATAGAGGAAAGAGTATAAAATCTCTTCCTTCTTCCAAGTAGTTACCTTAGTTCACACAAATCCAAAGTAGAAAGATGTGTTTAACCTCCCTATTTTGGGAAATGCTAGAAGGGACACATTTGGATTTTCTGATTTTCATTACATGATGAGAAATGTCATATAATACTTCTCTTCCTGAAGTGTGTAACCTTACGGGCAGGATATAGCCATTGAAGGGGATTCCTGACTCCTTCAATAGAATCATAATTATGAATTATAGCTATGAATGATCTTTATGACTCAGGTCTTATTTGATGCATTAGAATTAAAATAATTTTAAGGTGTTCATGTGTTTCTCCACCCTAGTATCTGAGAACTTGGCAAATATTTAAATGTTTGTTTTTATGACACCTGTGGATAATTAGAGTATTCAATTGCCTCAAATTTACAGCTGGGAACTGAAGCAGAAAAAAATCCCAAGATCAAAACTGACAAGTAGGTCACGTATATTTTATGTCTAACATTGAACACAGTCCCCATTTTCCTAAGAGTATTTGACATGACACAGCATCACGCTCAGAAGATAGCTGATCATTAGTTTGAATTGTAACAGCAAGTTCTTAGCATATCTACAAATCTATATTCAAGAGTCTGAAATTAGAAACTAGTGGAGAAAATTACAGAAACCAGCTTGACATTCAGCTGTTAATGTTTTGGTGTACGTCATTTGCCAGTATTGCTTTGAAACTATGTAATAATGGCAGGTTTAGGTTCTGAATCATTAGTCTAGTGTCCAGCTTTTTGTCCATGTACAGTTCTTTCTTACAATGATACAGTTCCCAGCTTCTCTATCAGGTGAGATGGAGGTTCTGTAAGAAATTATTTTCTGCATAAGTTTTATTTGCTGCAGAATACTATCTGGATTGTGCCATGAATACTTAGCCACTGGTATCAACTCGGAATGCTAGTATCAACTCCACCTGTATAAGTTATCATAATGAATCTGGAAAAGCATCTATGTTTCTGTGCTTATAAATCACCTTCCAGAATGAATCCACATCCTGAGCTGGATACTCAGGCAGTATCAATAAATATTAATGATTTGAAAAATTGGATGAATTTGTCTATATCCAGGATAAAATATTACTCTAGGTAAATATGAATGTGGTATCAAAGTATTTCTCCCTTAAGCTTCAGACATATTTCTTAGTAAGAAATCCTGAATTGTAAGAGTCTATTTCCAGGTTTCTCTGGAAAAGGACCAACTGAAATCAACTAGGTAAAAAGAAAGAAGGAAAGTTAGGTTAGGTACTTTAGTTAGCAGAAAGGTGGATAGTTTTGAATTTTGTCAGAACTGCCATGCATTTAACAAACTGGGATTCTCCCTGACATCCTTTGCCTTGATGCCAGAACTAACACTAACCTCTAATACCTCTCAGTAACTGAAGTGTCTTTTTGTTTATCTGATTTATGCTTTCTGGGCACTCTGAGTTTACAGTTAAGTTTCCAGGGGCGTATGCCACACACAGCTTTGGGCAGGATTCAGTAAATATATTCTTGAATAAATCCTTACGTGGATGGGACAAAGTATTGTATCTGTGGGTGTAGACTTGGACAAAGATATGTACCCCTCCTCACAGTTCTCAGCCCTGTGTTTGTTGTCATCGGGGAACAGCTCTTAAGATAGCTCAGGCTCTTCTATTCCTGTCTTTTGCCTATTGCCCTGCCCATTTCAGCTTGTCTTTCTTTGAACTTGGCTTGTTCAGCAATTAGATAGAACCTGTCTCCTACAAATACAGTAGGTATCTCTCTCCTGTCTGCCACTTCTGCCTTGTTCTGGTTTCTTGAAAAGTTTGGGCTTTGTTTGTATTTTTTTAACCAGTGCTTTTTCATCTTTGTATCTGTGTCCTATTTAGGCTCACTCTATATTCCTCTCTGTTTGGAGAAGTGTGAACTCATATTTCTGCAAGAGGAGCTGATTATATTTGAGTAGGTGATTGTTAGCTCAAAACCAGCCTACTGTTAACTTGATCTGATGGGGTATAACCCATGTCAGCTGACATTAATCACTCTGTATCCCATGGTTATTGTCAATGACATAGAAATGTATTATCGTCAACCAGACTTGTAAGTTAAGCATCTAGATTCTCTGCCCATGTAGGCGGCAGTGTATATATAAAGAAAGCTTTTTTTAAACACTACATTTCACACTCAGGAAGGTAAAGAGCAAATATATCGTGTGCAACATAGACTGATCACATAGCATGTGACAGAAGTTTTCTAGATAGGAATATACATTACTCTTAATAGTGGTGAACCTTATCAGTATCCAAATTCTACTTTTTACTTTTAATGCAATTTTAGCCAATGATCATTGATGCCAGCCCAAATATCTGGTGTATCCAGACTTAGCATCATTTGACAGTATTTTGACATCCTTTGCTGTAATTACCTTCTCTGGATAGTTGACCAATATTTAAATTATTGTAATTTTGAAGGAGTTCATCCTAATGATATCTCCTGCCTTGATTTAGCAGGCATCTGTTACATGCTATGTTGAGTGAGTGCTCATTTTCAGTAAAATATTCTAAAATCTTATGAAGAGTATCATATGAATTGCAGAAAAAAATCTTCCTAGTGAAAATTTCCAGATAGGTAGTTTGTCTTTGCAAGAAAAAGCCAATTATTTGAAAGGATTTTGTAAATGTTCCGCTTGTAACCTTCTACACCAATATTTCATTGATATTAAACCTCCACTGTAGAATTATGCCATGATGTAGCAGATAACATATTAAGAAGCAGGTAACATTTTTGCTGAGATACAGCATGTATATTTAATAGATTAAATTTCAGTTTGTGTTAATGTCCTGGCCATCTGGGAGGTTGTATCTTCTTTTCACAGCTGGGACCGTGTATGCTTTCTTTTTTTCCTCAGTATTTTGCAGGAAGTAGGGAAATTGGTGTTATAAAAAGTGTGACACAGAAACAGGTGGGAGCAATAGTGCCTGTCTGAAAATTACACGTTACAGTAAAGCCTCCTGCAGTGCTTAAGAACTTCCCCTTCAGTGTTCTGTAAAATGATCGCATCGCCTAATAGGCTCAATTCAATAATTGCTTTTCCTCTTTTTTAAGTGTCCCTTTTCTGCAGTGTTTACACATAAAATGGTGCAAAAAGTACAGTATGAAAAGCAACTAAATGCAGCAGTTTTAGTGCTCATTAAATCCATTTTGCATGTGTATGCCTTTCAAAATCCTTTTTTTCCTTGCTCTCAGGTGAGAACACATTCTAAAATAAGAAAGGCCCATGGAATAAAATAATAGATAAAATTGAAATGCAGCATGGGTGATTCTAATTTGTGTGCTGGACTGGAAGTTAAAACGTGAAAAGAAAGGTTTTGGAAGAGGATATCGTGCTCAGTCTTTTAGATACTTGAGTTTCTACAGATAAGGGATTAGCTACACTTATAGGTAAAAGTACAGTTCTTGAATCAACCATTAGCAGTAGAACACAAGAAGATACCGTAGTATAACTCCTTCAGTGCAGATCATTCTCATGGTATTTACTCTGTCACACAATTACAGACAGAAAATTTGTTCTCTCTATATCGGGTATGATCTGGAGCACCCAGTGTCATGGAGAACATCAGCTCACTGCATATCTGCATATATATGCCAAATGTAGCAGCATAGTACCCTGAGAACATGTACATGCTTTGAGCTAACAAGGTAAAACAACAGGGGAAGAAGTATGCATTTAAAGAACAGCATAATAAAGGCACCTTAAAATCAAATTAGGATTTCATAATTATTCTTTTTTTGTTTCTTCTTTGTATTTGGTGTCCTTTCACTCAAAAACTCACATCTCCTGTTCTGAAGACATAACCTCTTGTTATGAAGTTGGACACTGATTTTGGAATTGCTAGTTTTTCCCCCGTTGAGAATAGATTGTACTGTTCCTTTCTCCACTGTTACTTTACCTTTTTTAGTTCATTATTTTCAGTACAAAAATAACACTTATTTTTCACCCTTCCCTTCATTTTGGGACTATGTTAGATATGTTTTTTCTAATTTTATTTTTCCTCCTATTTTTAAAGCACCTAAAACGGGGAGAAGCAGGTTTCTATGACTTGGTCTATTATACATCAATTCTGTACATTTACGATGATCTCAGGCTCCTCGTGTGCAGAAGTCAAGCTCAGAGAGCAGCCGTGTTTTAAAATCACTGAATAACTATGCAGGTGAAGGTATTGGCCTGTTCACCAGCCATTGCAAAGTTGAGGCTCATGTACAATTAATGTGCAGAAAATGATCACTGTAAGAAAGGGTTTAATCGACAAACTCAAGTGTAACCTTCTGCCTGATCATCTTTGTCCAGAATCAAAAATTTTCAGTCAGTGTGCAGATTTTAAAAGTGGTACAAATGGAGTGAATATGGGAAGATAATTATACAGCAGGGTCTGTTGGCACACTTCTGGAATGGCTGTCTTACATGTGAAAGACAAAGACACAAGTCAGTCATGGGGTTTTTTTTAAGTGAGCACTGAAGACTCTCCCTGCACTATTCTACCTAATACTGCACTAGTACTCAGACTGCACTTGCAGCAGAGATACCCATTCAGTAAATCCAGTGCTTACTTCCATCATTTTCTATAACCGTACTGGTGATTTTCCTTTCCTCACAAAACTGAGATCATAGTCAAAATGAAATCTTCAATGCTAAATATTTAAACTACCACTGAAAACTGTTTCCAAAACTTTTAAGACCTGAGGAAAGACTGAGTCTCTGATTTGTAGTTTGCACAGGAGAGAAAAAGCGGCAGGCTGAAAGGATGCAGAACCAGAAGGAGAAGAAGGTTGCCAAGAAACTGCTATAGGTAGTTGCCTGGTTTGTCCCTCAGTCAAGAACCTACTGTATGAGGGGCTGAGCAGCCATGCCGGGGCTGTTAATGATGGGTAACC